ATTTCCTGCCCCCCCCCCCCCCCCCCGTGCTCTTGCTCCCTTTTTTTTGGTCTCTTATCCTGAATTTTGGGGTCTTTGGAAAGCTAAACTTTCCCCAGTTTTGGCTCTTCCCCTCCTTTTTGGTCTCCTTTGCCATCTTTTTGGGGCTTTTTTTCTCCCTTTTGGGGAACTCCTTTCCCCCTTTTTGTTCTCTTTTCCATCTTTTGAGCATACTTTCCCTTTTTTAGGGGAGATTCTTTCCCTCTTTTTTAGGCTATTTTCTCCCCTTTTTTGGCACTGTTCCCCTAGTGCCACCCCAAGACACCCAAATCCCCCCAGTCCCTGTCCCCCAGTGTCCCCCTGGTGTCACCCACCTGGGTGATTGTGGATGTGACAGCCTGGTCACATCTAGATAGAGAGAAAGCTAGGTAAGTTTTCCCAGAATTGGTCTGTGGAGCTGTAGGGAGCTGGAGACAAACAATGATAGCCAAATATTAAAACAGCCTGCAGGTGTTTTTTTTCTGTTTTTCTCATAAGATTGTTTACAAATGGATGTCTTGTTAATTATCCAATTAGGTGAAATGTATTGATTAAGTGACCAATCAGGTGCCCACGTCACCCCTGCGGCGCCCAGTTCCACCAGGAATCCCGGGGTTCGACTGATCCGGAGGGTTGTTTGCGTCTCCGTGATGGTCAACGGTCCCGGGAACTCCGTGGGCAGGGGCTGGGGACCCTGTTGAGCTGGAGAACACCGAATTAAGGGAAAAAAGGGGATTTGGGGTGATACAGGGGTGAAGGGTAGTTGGAGGAATCTGGGTGGAAAAGAGGGAGTTTGTGGAAAAATTATGGGATGCATCAAGGCATGGTGGGGGTAGGATGAGGGACAACCCATGGTGGTGCTTCTCTGACATGAAATTAGGAGAATAAAGAGCTATTTTGGTCAAAATTATGGGGTGGGTCAATTTATGGATCTCTCTTAGCGAAGCACACAGGCTTCACTGGCAGGAAACTGGGAGCAGAATAGAACAATCTGGGGCAAAATTAAGGTAAGAACATGCTGTGGTGCTGGTGGGATGGGACAACCCATGTGGACTCTTACCTGGTCTGAAATTAGGGAAAAAATATTGGGTTTTTTTTCAAATTAAAATGAAGGTCAGAAGGACATTTAGGGTGACAACATGTAGTGGTGACAACATCTTTGGGTGCCAGCCAGGATGGTGACAACTTACCCAGACCTTCCTGTTCTTCCGCATGGTGATGAGGCCGTGGAGGGTGGAGAGGTGAAGTGCCACCACTGCCAGCTGGTCCCCAACATCCCTGATCTCCCTCAGCAACTGGAACCACACAGGGTCCCAGGGGTCACACGCTGGCCACCACATAGATGCCGGTGGCTAGGGTGGCCCTGATGATGCTGTCAAAGGTGATGAAGCGAGTGGCAGGGACAGGGTGCAGTGCCCCAGGTGTGCGATGCAGGTGTGGGTGCTGTCATGGAGGCTGCAGGTGTGGCTGAAGGGACAAGTGAAGGGGTGGCACTGGAAGCCCCCAGGCCCCCAGCAGGTGGAGGACTGGGAGCAGTCAGAGGTCAGGATGGTCTCAGTGATCTGTTTTCCATGGATAAAATGTGGAAAGTGAGGAAAAGTGGCCTAAAATGACCAAAAAATGGGGATGAGGTCTCATGGGAGGGAGGGAGGGAGGGATGGGGCCCATGGCTCCCATATCCCCTATGTGTCTTCATATCCCCAACGGGTGCCCATGGGGATCACTAACATGTCCCCAGCATGTGGCCATATCCCCACACACCCCCATGTCCCCCATGGGGGGCACACTGCAGGGACTGGGACCTGCCGGGTGACACTGGGAACACTGCTGAAGACAGAGGGAGACACTGGGACATGCTGAGAGACACTGGGAAGGACACTAAATTCCCCCACTAAGAAGCTGGGATGCATTGGGAGGCACTGTGGGAGGAACAGAGACAAATATGGAGGGATTTGGAATGCTGTGGGGGAAATTTGGGGAGGACTCGAATACCCTGGGAGGGACTGTGGGCAATACAGGGAATACTGGGGGAAATTGGAGGGGAGGACAGACCCTGAGGTCTCTCACCCCTGGGGTGAAGGGGGATCCACTGGGGGATGTGTTTGGGGAAAGTGGGACACGGGGAGAAATGGTGATGTGGGGTATGCTGGGGTATACTGGCAGGGACTGGGGACACTGTGGGCGGCACACTGAAGGGACCCGGGATCACCATGAGGAGCCTGGAAGGAGCTAGGGCTGGAACTGGGCTGTACTGGGAGGCACTGGGACCACACCCACCTGGAAGTAGCGCCCCTGGTGGAGGCAGCCACAGGTCTGGGAGGATGCAGCGGCCCCGTGGAACAGCAGCCCCTCGGCGCACTGACACCCCTCACAGCAGCGCTCACTGCAGGGGGGTGGGGCCGACACACCTGCACAGGTGTGCTCACAGGTGCAGGCACACAGCTGGTAGTGGCTCTTGGTGGGGCAGGTGAGAGCTGGGAAAGGGAGGGAGGAAACAAAGGGGGTCAATGGGGAGCAGTGGGGCTACTGGGGGGTCATCTGGGGTCAATGGGTGTCTCCTGGGATCAATGCCATCCCATCTTTGGGGTGGGTGGTCCCAAGGGAAATCCATGAAAATACGAGATAAAAGAAAAAATGCAGAAAAAAGGGCAAAAGTGCAGAAGAATAGGGAAAACAGTGAACAAATAGCAAGGCAAAGGGACATACATGCATACCTTCCCTATAAATAAGGAAAAAAAGGAGAAATGCAGGAAAAAAATACATAAATGTAAAAAAATAGAGGGGAAATGCTGGGGAAAAGTATAAATATAAGAAAACTGAGAGAAAATGCAGAAAAAGAAATACAAATGCATAATACAGAGAAAAATACAGGCAAGAAAAATATGTAACTGCCTAAAAATAGGGGGAAGAAAGGAAATGCAGGGGAAATATGACATAAAAATAGGAGGATGGAAAGGCGAAAAATGCTAGGAAAAGGAGAAAGAAAAATAGGGAAAAATGCAAGAAGGTGTAAATGCATAGGAAATAGGGAAAATGGGGGGGGAAATTAATTTTTAAAATGTAAATACATTTAGCCAAGAAAAATAAAGAAAACCCCATGGAAAAAGAGGCAAATGCAGAGGAATATGAGAGAAAGGAAAGCAGATGCAGGAAAAATATAGGTAAGGATATAAAAATAAAAGAAGGAAGAAGAAGAAGGAAAAATGAAACAAATCCATAAAAATAGGGGGGAAATGAAGGGAAAAAAGACACAAATTACTAAAAACAGGAAAAAAGGCCAGAAAAAGTACCTTATAGTATTCCCCATCCCAAAGCATCCACATTAATCTTAGGGAACGCATCTGTGTCCGTCACAGACAGAACCCTGGTGGCACTGGCAGCCCTCGATGCATGTTTGGGGGCAGGTTGTGGTATTTTGGGCGCAGATGTTGGCACAGGTGTTGGTGCTAAGGGAGTAGGTGCTGTTGACTGGGCAGGTGAGGGCTGGAGTTTTCATGGAATCATGTATTGATTTGGGTTGGAAGGGACCTTAAAGCTCATCCCATCACCATCATCCCATGTCCTGCATGTCACCACTGTCACCCAGACCCAAACAAGGAACATTCCCCACCTGTGCGCCCCCCAAACTCCAGTATCACCTGGAGATCTCCCCAACTCCAAACAGGTGACATTTGCCCCTGTGCCCTCCCAAATTCACGGCAGAAGGATGATGTCCTCCAAGCCCCCACAGTGACTCTGGCACCTTGGCATGCAGTGACATAGCTCTGGATACTCTGGCATAGGACATGTGTGTCCCCTTCCCTCATACAGTGGTCATGGATGCAGGATTGGGAATATGGGATGGGATCAATGATGCAATGGCAGGAGCCAAAGGGACCTTCAGGGGCCGTGAGGAGGCCACAGTAGCTGGGTTTTTGCAGGATTGCCACTTCTTCCTCTGTGCATGTGGGACACTCATCCTTGGGACAGGTGTTATCACAAGGTGTATCTGTTGTTTTCCATGTGGATCCAAAGGCTGTTGCATCTGGAGCCAGCTGGCCACTGGAAAGCTGGAAATCATCATTGCATTGGCCATTGTGGTTGCCACAGAAGCCACACAAGCACCCCATGTAGGTCTGGGGGACTGTGACCATCACGTGCTGGACGAGGTCATAGTGGACAATGAGGCTGAAGTCAGTGCGGAGCAGGACACCTGTCCCATGTGGGTAGACCTGGACCTGTCCCTCACTCAGGATGGTGGGGAGATAGTGACAGATGGAATCCACCTGGGATAGAGTAGGAAGAGTCCTCCAGCGAGGAGGTGGGACCAAAAATTTGGGGAAAACACCTTCCAAATAATATTCTGACAGATTTGTGGATCCCACTTGGAAGGAAAAGTTCAGATGAGAAAGGATTAGTCTTGGAGATAGGGTGAGGGCTCCCCTCACCAAGGAAACAGAGTTTCAGGGTTGATAGGAGCTAGAATGAAAAATTTAGGGAAAGCAGGTTCCAACCAAGGTTTTAATGCATTTACAGATCTTGCTTAGAAAGAAAAGTTGGACTGGAATTGGAGATAGGCTGAGGAGTGCCTTCCATCAAAGAAACTCAGTTTGGGGGGATCCCATGAGATTTGGAACATGAAGTGCCTTACCATGATGTCAGCCCATTTTCTGTGTTTCAAGGTCAAGGTGACCCCATAGACTTCCACAGACAATGCTTGGATCCTGGGGACCTTCCCTTTCTGCTGCTCCTCCTTCTAGATTGTGACAATAAATGATGTCACATTGTCACCTGTACTGTCACAGACATCTTTTCACTAAAAATCCCTTCTTTAGGATTTTTCCTTCTGAGAAGCTAAGAGGCCTGAGAGACAGAATGTAAACAATGGTTATCTGCTGCTGTGGAATGCAACAGGTCCACCTGTGACTGGCCCATCTTGGATGGTTATAATTAATGGCCAATCAAGGACCGGGCTATCTCGGACAGAGTCCAAGAGAGCTGCGTTTGTTATCATTTTTTTATTTTCTATTCTTTTCTATTCTATTCCCAGATGTTAGCATCTGGGAAAACCTGTCCTCCTTTTTCTTTTTAGTATAGTCATAATGTAATATATATATATATCATAAAATAATAAATCAAGCCTTCTGAACATGGAGTCAATATTCTCGTCTCTTCCCTCATCCAAGAATGCCTGTGAACACGGTCACACTGTACCGGTCTGGGTGAGGACATATGAGTAAGTACCAGCGATGTTGAAGGCCATCCCATCAAAGGTGACATAGGTGTGGTCCCTTGTGGCCACACAGGTGCTGGACACCTGCGAGGTACATTGGAAGACATCACTGACAACCTTCCCATGGCCAACATGACAGAAAGTATTTTGGCACTCCACAGTGCCACCAGAGAGGCACTGGCACATCTCCTGCTCTGTGGGGTAGAATGTCTCCCCCTCTTTGTAGTAGACTCCATGGTGGCTGCAGCTGCAGTGGGACATGGGCACACACTTGTCGACGCCATCCTGACACATGCAGCCCTCGTGGCACTGCCCTTGGCATGTGGCAGAGTCAGCGCCGCAGGTGTGCTGGCAGGTGTGCGAGCAGAGCTCATTGGAGCTGTTGGAAGGACAGGGAATATCTGCCAGGAGACAATGGGATTCATGAGGAACCAGGAAATTCCAAGCCAAATCCTGGAAGTTTCCTGGAATTCAAGTGCAAACTTCACCTAATACAGAGCTTTTTAGCCCATGGCAAACTTGATTTTCATCCCTGTGCACATGACAAGGGGCATCATCAAATGACAATCCAACGATTATCTGATGATGATCCAATGATCATCCATAAGGAATATGCCATCCCATTACAATAGGAATTCTTCCTCTAAACCACACGATTTCTCACATTTTTATGGCGAAAAATGAAATATTCACTCAAAGAATGGGATTGCTCCACACTGGGTCCTCAACTGACCTCCAGGCTGGATCCCTTTAACCCAATTCCACTATTTTTAGTACATTTTTTGGTGGTTCTCCCTCTAAATTATCCACTTTGTAGCCAACACCAGGAAATTGGAGATTTTGAGGGGGTAAGGTATTCCAGATGAGACAACTTCTTCCTTAGGAAGGGTTTATTTTGGGTGAATTATGGGATCAACCAAGACTTTGGGTGGGATTCCCATGTGCCTCTGGGTTGTTCATACATAGATTTGGAGCAGACTTGAGGATCCTTTGTATACTGCTGAAGGAAAAACCCTCCCATTGTCCCAATTTACAGTAGAAATTATCTGTCCTCCACCTCTCAATGGACACACCAGCAGCCTGGCATGTGGTGGCGTAGAGGGCAATGATTGGACACATCCCTTCTTCCTGATCAGGGAACAGGCAGGAGTCATGGATGCAGCTTTAGAAGTACTGATGGCCATCAACATGACCATGACATCCTCTAAAGAGTCCACCCACTTCCAAAATAATTTCACACCCCATCTCAGAGACTTCCTGCTGCAGCCAGGAAGGTGCAAGGGTGCTGGAACATTCCACTGTTGACCTCTCACCACATCCTGGGACATCTGTGACCTTCCAGCTGCTCCTGAAGGCATCTGGGTCTGACGTCACATGGTTGTTCCTCATCATCATGTCATCGCTTGCAGTGCCATTGTAGCTCCCACAGAGCCCACACAGGGCATTGGTGAAGCCACTAGCACCATGGTGGTGATGTGGCTGTACCAGTCATAGGTGACAACAAGGCCAAAATTGGTCACTTCCACCACGTCCTGCCCGTGACAATAGACAACAATCTTTCTTTCACTGTAGTGCTACGGGAGATTGACCAACTGCTCATCAGTCTGGGGAGAAAACCATAGAAATTGATCAAATTGGCAGACTGAGGGTAAACTATTTTCAACAGCCAGAGCAATCAAAAAGTGTCGATTTAATTAAATTTTGAATTGAATTAAATTTTTGATTGAATTAAATTTTGGATTTAAGAGAATGAGAAGGACCAAGTCCCAAAAGGAGGTTGATCAACCACTCATTGATCTGGAACAAATGATGTTGATTTAATGACATTTCAGATGTTCATGGGATGAGGTGGAGAATGTGATGAAAAGATAAGGGATCATTTCCTAAACTCACCATGATTTTTCCAGCATGTTCCCTGCTGATGCTGATGGTTTTCTTGTAGACTTTGACTGTCACCACGGCAATGGACGACACGAGGTTGTCACTAAGGTGGCCATTCTGCACCAACACCTGGCATCCCACCAAATTTTGGGTGTCCTCACACAACCCTACCAACACATAAGACACACATCCCCTGGAAGATGAATGCCTTGCCATCAAAGGTCTCATAATGGGTGGCTCCGACAGCAGTGCAGACCCCAAAAATTTTGGGATAACAATCCTGGATATCCTCCTCCATCTGGCATCCCTCCTCAGTGCCACAACCAGAATCCCAGCACACTGTCTGCCGCTGCTCTGCGTCACACACACAGTGTTGGATGCAAGGGAGGTCACTCCAAAATTCCTTGCCAAGGTCATAGAAGAAACCCTGAAAGACACAACCACATTCAGAAGGGGCGATTCAGGTGTCGGCATCAAGGACAAGGCCCTCGTGGCACATGGAGGTGTCCACGCAGGTGCTGACAGCGGCACAGCTGGATGACACAGCAGGGATGTTGCAGGTAGGGAGGCAGGCAAGGCCTCAGGTGCTGTAGGGCGGGCAAATGAGAGCTGGACAGGGAGGGAGACAGCGGTCAAGGTGGGGCAGTACATAGTGGGACAGACTACTTTGACTATCTGCACAGATACCCTGCAGATTCCATGGATTTTATGTAGTCTCCATGGACCTTCTAGGCCTTCTACCTGGACTTTCTGGAGTCTCGGCAGACTTCCTGCTCAGACTTTCTAGAGACTCCACCAACTTTGTGGACTTTCTACATGGACTTTCTGGAATCTCCTTGGAGTTCCATGGATTTCCTGCTTGGATCTTCTGCCATGGTCTTTCTCAACCCATGATCCCATGGGTCTTTAGTCCCACATCAATTAGCCTCCACCCACCCCAAGGAGTATTTTCACTCAACCATCCTCTATTCACAACATTCCAACTCTTTCCTCCAATGGGAAACATTGATCCTCTTCTCCTGGCAGTCATCAGCATAGTTCTTGAAGGCATAGCACAGCACATTGCGATGCCCCTCATTGGCACACAGGTCATAGATACAGTTCTTCACATAGATATTGGGACTGATAGTGTCATGACACGACTGGAATGGCCCAGAATGTTGGGACAACTTCCCACACCAGGTCTCTGCCTTGTATGTCACCACCTGGTCCCATCTGCACCGCCCACAGTCACCATCACAGGTGTCCTGGCAGTGGCCACTCTCACTGGTCGCCTTCCAGCTCCACCCAAACTCCACAGTATCTCACATTTGTTTTCCATCAGGAGAGAGAGTGTCATCTTGGGGATCCCCATTGTTTTTCCCACACATTTCGCAGACTTTTCTAGAAAGAGCAGCCGGAAGTTTGATCACTACACGATCATCCCAGCTGTAGAGGACCTTCAGCTTGAAATTTGATTGAATCAACATGGATTTACCCTTCTGGTGGATGCAGACCTTCCTGTGGCAGAGGAAAATGGGGAGGCACAAGCGGTGGTTGCTCACCTGTAGGACAACAACCATCAAAACAACCAAAATCCATCAAAACTGGGCATGGAGTTCAAGAAGACTAGAAGTGTTTTCATACAAGGGTTACCTGCATACCAGCAAATCTGGGAATTATTTAGGAAAAGACCCTCAAGATCATTGCTAAATATGTAATTTCAGCAAAATTTTAAAAAACTGGGAAATTATGATGGTTTTTGCTTACCCTCACCATACCATTCTCTGACTGGACAGCAGTGACAGTGACGTTGTTGACTTGGATGGTGATGGAGCCAATGGAGGAAACTTTGGAGTTCTCCTTTTTCCTCCTTTTTGACCTCAACAGAGGAAGTAGGAAGGGTGGGATCAGGATTGCAGATGGTGGTCATGGTGTAGGCCCGCGATCCCATGAAATCAAAGGTTTTTCATCAAAACTGCAGTAGTGTGGCCCACCAGTGAGCCAACAGGTGGAGAAAGTCTCCTGGATGCACTCTGGTTGTCCATCCACCATCTCACACCTCTCGCATACCAAATCCTCACAGGAGACTGCTGTGGGGACTGAAAAAGAGGGGAAAACCCATGAATGGTCAACTGCACAACACTCAACCATTGGGGTGACACAACAATTGACTCACTTTACTCACTGGCAGCACAGAGCCCCAGGAAACCATATCCAGTGTGAGTCTGGAACCCAGACACCAGGAGCCCAATGGGCACCTACGAGTTCTCAGCACTCTGCATCATTGCACTCATGGTGATGCTGGCCCAGGAGAAATCTGTGCCAGGAATGGCCTGCCATGCCACTGTGTTGTCTGGCCAATGGTTGAGGGTGGTGGTGGCAGTGGTAGTGGTGGGTGCAATGAGGATGGCATGGCTATACTGGCTGGGCACACTGCTAAAGCGGAATGCAGTGCAATGGGCGGTGACAGGTGGGACAAGAAGGAGGAAGGGATCTTGCCAAGATGACCCACTGAAGAAGAACACCAACTGCACTGCCACCACTGCACTGATCTACAGGTGGGAGTTATGGTTCACTGTTGACGATTTTTGCAGGTTGAGGAGTTTTTGCAAGACAATGGCCACGTTCAGCCAATGCACAATCGAGCCTGCTTGTAATAATGGACAATGGACACGTTCACAAACAATGGATAATGGACATATTCAGAAATGGGGTCGGTATGTCCTTGAAAAAGATACAAGAAGAAGAGTCATCAGGACTCAGCAAGTTTGTCAGCAAGCTTGAGAAAGGGAGAAAAAAGAGACAGACAACCACAGCAAGACGTGTGAAAAATTAGATGATCCAATCAGACAACCACAGCAAGACGTGTGAAAAATTAGATGATCCAATCAGCATTCCATTTTAGATACGTGAACAGCTAGGATTAACCAATCATGTATTAGCTATACATGATTGTGGGTGGGCCAGACAACCACAGCAAGATGTGTGAAAAATTAGATGATCCAATCAGCATTCCATTTTAGATACGTGAACAGCTAGGATTAACCAATCATGTATTAGCTATAGACACGTGAACAGTAGAAACTTATTATAAATATAGTCCTTTTAGGGATAATAAATTTGGCTTCACTGGATCATATTGGTTATGGCGTGATGTCCCTGAACCTCTGCACCCCACAGTTCACCATGAATGTCTGCACCTCCCTTGTTGCCATGGCCACAGTGGCATTCCTGCTCCCAGTATTGTAGTTGACGGTGTTGTCTTCATCCGTCACCACATAAACAAAATCAGCCTCTGTCTGCAGTGGGTTGGGTGGCACCACGTAGCTCCTCCCCCACACTGTCATTGGGAGGAACTGCTCCACCACAAAGTCAAATCCAGCAGATACCTTGACACAGGTGTGGCCACTGAGGACGACCACAGGGGTGTCGGCCACCACAACTGTGCCAGTGAAGTCCTGGCTGCTCTGGAGCTGCAGGCTGTGGTAGGGCTGCAGGAATAGGCGGAGCACGGCAACGGGGATGTATGTGGCCCCAGCAAAGTGGAAAGTGGTGCTGGTGCTGATGCTAAGAGTGATGGTGGTGGGGTCAGTGGCCACCATAAACTCAGTCAGGCCGCAAGTTTAGTTCCCAACCGGTGTCACCACATAGTACCTGATGCCCAGGCTCTCCATAGGTAGGAAGGCAATGGCATCCACAGTGTAGCCATTGGTACTGACAGACGTCACAGAGATGTCAGCACTGGCCTCAATCACCAAGGTTTTATGGGAAGTGTGGCTTCCAGTGAGTTCCAGGGTAGCAGGAAAGGGCAAGGGCACAGTGACATCTGGTCTCAGGGTGGTGTTCTGGGTGATGGAGCTGCCACAGAGCATCCCCGACACCTGGGTGTCAGCAGGGCCATAGAAGGCGAGCAGCAGCTGCAGGTACGTGCTGGGGGACTCGTTGTCGTTCTGTGGGATCACAGCATGGAACTCCCAGCCCCGGTAGCTGGCACTGGAGAGTGCTGGGAAAACAGGGGGAAAAGAGGGCCTTGGTTAATTTTTATATTAACCAAGGGGGTTATACAAAGGGGGCTTTTAGATTTTTATATCAATTTTTTTAGGTCAATTCTATATGTGTTTATACATCAATTTTCCTATTTTACAGGAGGAATTGTACTGAAATTACATTAAAGATATGACTGCACTATCCAATTTATAGAGTCTATTTTTATATATTGTCAAAATAGAAATTCTATTTGCAGTTTGTTATTTTAATAAACAATATTTGTCTTCTATTAACAAATTATTAAAATATATCAATGTGTTAATAATATGAAATAATGTATTATTAACTAATACTAATTATATAAAATACTATTCCTTAATACAACAATATTACTAGATATTTATATTATTATACCCTGTGTTCATTATATATTAATGGTATCATGTAATATAATTTAGTATATTACTACTTACTAGCACATTGATAAAATATTAATAATATAGGGCTAATATATCAGTAAAAATATGCCAATCACATTTTAGCCTGTTATTGTAGTATTATACTTGTTATCCATCATATAACTTAGTTATATAGTTTTCTATGTTATTATTATAGAGATCTATTAATTATAACACTGTGATATACAATACTTACATTTAAATACATAGAAGTACTTTTTCTATTATTTTGTACTTAATTTTGATAGAAATATCAGCAAAGATTTATTCCAAAACCATAAATATTAAAAATAATTAAAGTAATATAATAATAAATGATGTAGCTATTGAACTTATTTCCGTATTAATCAAAGTAGAAAATAAATTAACGTATTTTTATAAATCTATACATCAGTAGATGATTTATATTTTCTCTACAAAATTATACAGATAACGATTTAAAATAATTTTATTGATTGTTTTCATAGAAACGGTTTGGGAAGAAATGGCAAAAATCAAGCAAAAATAAGCAATGAGGAGCACAATTACAAAGTTAGAGAGTATACTAGAGACTAGAATAGAATTAATATACCATTATATTATACTATATTGCAATATAATCTATCATTATATGTAATTAATATAACAATTATGATAGTGGATAGGACATTCTAACACAAAATATTATATATATATACATAAATTGCATAGTTATAATACATTATAATATATAATAACATAATTCATATAATATTATGCAACTTCATGCCATATTACATTGTAAATTATTCTTTAATTGCATTATGTAATTACATTTATAGTAATTTATATATATTCTATAGTTTATAATTATCTCTTAATAACTAGATATAGTTATATATAATAGGAATATAGTGCTATATTAATAAATGCACTATTATATGAATAGAAAATATATTACATGTTTTTATAGTTCACATCTTTTGTATGTCCATATAACTTTTAATTTATTATTATTATTATTATTATTATTATTATTATTATTATTATTATTATTATATACTGATTTTTCACAGAAATTTTTATTAAAAATGCAAATCAAGAATAATGATAATACCAACATAATTACAGCAGAGTAGATCATATGTTGAATTTTCTATATAATTACAGTGGAGACTATATTATACATTCATATGGAACAACTGTAGTGGATGTATATTATTAATTTAACCACAACATATAAAAATATAAAAATGTATTAATAAGCAATTATTGTCCTATTAATCAATATTATGCTATTAAGTTACACTATTAAATATTATTATTAGGCAATTAAAATTGTACATATTTGGTATAAGATAAAATGTATATAGAAAAATATATAAAATATCCAGAAATATGTAAAAGGAAAACTAAACAAAAAATATTGTAAAAAGATCAAAAATATTTTCAGAGTTTTTTTTAATGCTACAAAAAAACCAAAATGGCTGTTTTTTGCCTCAAAAGAGGTTAAAAAGAATGGGTATCTTCTCCTAATAAAAAGAAAAAAACCAAAAAAAGAAAAAAAGAATTTTTGAGATTGTCAGGGAAAAAAAAACCAGGAAAATGAGATAAAAATTTATTAAAACTCGGTGTATATATAAAAGCCCATCATAAGAGGTTTTTTAATTTAAAAAATAGGGAATTGAGGATGGTAGATTAAAAAAAATTCTGGTGATTTTTTCTGAAAAAAATTGAAATCAAGTGTTTTGGGGGGAAAATAGGGAATAATGAGGTTTGACTATCAATAAAAATAGGATTAAAGGGGCCTTTCTGAAATAATATATGAAAACTATTTGCTTTTTTTAAAAAAGGGGATTTTGAAGAAAAATCAAGAGGGACGTGAGCAATTGGGATTTTAAGAATTACAACAGAGTGAGTTTTTTTTCTTTAAAAATAGCTGAAACTTAAAACAGAATTCAAGAGGGCTTTTTTCCTTAATGAATAAATTTTTAAAAGAAAACTAAATAAAAAAAAAAGAAGAAACAAGAAAATATTAAGGGAATATAAAGGGTTTTTTTTAATTTAAAACACTATCTAAAAAATTGGGCTGATAATTTTCTCAATGAAAATTAGAAAAAAACCAGGAAAATAAGGAATAAAAGGGTTTTTTTATTTTTCCTTAAGAATCAACTGCTTTTATTAAAAAAGAGCAAATAAAAGGACTTTGTTTTTTCATTTATAAAAACCTTTTAAAAATAGATCTTTTTTCCCTGGGAAAAAAATACAATTCCAGCATATAGATCTTGCGGTTTTGTCCTGGTAAAACACTAAAACTGAACATTAGAATTTTAGCTAAAAACAAAAAAAAACCAAAGAAAAACCCCACCAAAAAAACAAACCAAAAAGTAAACAAAAATACTCAGGACAAAGTGCACTTTTTTTTCCCATGAAAATTAATCAGGCATTAATTTTCTTTTCAAAAAGAAGAAGATTATAAAGGCTTTTGGATTAAAAAAATATTTCAAAATGGGATTTTTGGTTAAACATAATAAATCTGTTGCTGAGAGGTTGTTGGAAAAATGCAGAATGGGGGAAGAACAGAATTTTCAGGCAAAAACAAGCCCAGGGGTTCAGGATTTCATCTTCTGTGCTAAAAAGTCTGGAAATGAGTAAAAAATCCAAGAAATTTGGGGATTTTTCATGGAAAACAGGAATTTTATTTACCACAGAAGGGAAGGAGGAGCCATCAGATCCCGTCTTGTGCCACCCCTGTAAAAAAACACCAAAAACCACTAAAACCTGTTCTTTTGTGGGAAAAATCCATGTGAGCCCTGAGGCTCCAGAAGCCTCAAGTCACCCCCCAAATCACCCCAAAATGTCTTTTAATACCCTAAAATACCTTTTTTCACCCCACAGAAACCTCCTGGGACTTACTTTGGCCCCCACTGCCCCCAAGTCCACACCAAACATGCCAAACTCTAAAAAGTTTGTACAAAATTCCCCAAGTTTGGATCAAAATTGTTTTTCTTCCCAAATTCTCCCACTTTGGGTCAAAGTATTTTTTCTCCCAATCCCCCCCTTTCGGTCAAAATGGAATTAAACAGGGATTAAATATCCCTCCCCCCATTCTGCTCCCCACCTTGAGGCCACATCAGATTCTCCATCTATATCAGATTCACTCCAAAACCAGATGAATTTTAACTAAAATCACCTGGATTAATGTCAAAATGCTGACACAGCCCTCCCACCAACCCCTGATGCCCACTCCGTACCCCATTTCCACCAAATCCACACTAAAATTTCATGGAAAGGATGAATTTTTCCCCAATTCTCCCCACCCAGTTTTGGTATATGGATATTTTTTTTTGCCCAACATCCTCCAAATTTGGATCAAAATGGGGCTCAACATCCAGGAAAACTCTTCACTCACCTTGTCCCACACAAACCCTCCCAAATGCTCAATTTGGCCTGAAAAAGGGGAAGAGAAAACCCACCAAATTTTGGACATGAAGAGGGAAAAAAAATCTGAAATTTGGAAGAAAAGTGCACAAAAAGGGCAAACCCCTGAGATTTGGGGGGGAATGGGCAATTTTATTTTTTGTTTAATGTGGAAAAAAGTGTTTGAAACCCAACATTTTAGAAGAAAAATGATGGAACTTTTGGGGAAAAGAGAGAAAATGGTCCTAAAATTGGGGAAGGGAAAGGGTAAAAAAATCTGAAATTTGGGCAGAAAAAATCCTCAATTTCTGCCTGTCACTAAACAATAAGGAAAACCAGGAATAAACAGGGAATGAAGCCTCCCCACTCTTCCCTACTCACTGGCCCCTTGGCTCTTGAATTCCTGGGTTTCTGCAGACACACAGTGTTCCAAAGCCACTCCTTTTATACCCAAATAAAAAATACTCAAGTCACAGCCAAACCATGCAGATTTGGGCAGATTCAGCAGAATTTCAGGATGGGGACAAGGGGCATGACCCACAGTTCCAGAGAATTTGGGAGCTGGCAGCTGGATCCTGTCACAGATGGGAAATGATGGGAGTGGAACCCTCAGGACATTTGATACATGTGAGTGACAGGGATGTCGTGAGAGGTGTGGGACCCACAGCAATTATCCCAAATTCCCTGAACTCCCAGAATCACTGTCCCCATGGTAGCCTCTGCCCCACAACACCAGGGAAAGGACAGACCAAATCCAGACGTTTTTTACCCAAAATTAATGACCCAAGTCCCAGCAAGGAATTCCAGGGTATGGGAAATTCTGGCCCAAATGACTGAAAAAGCTGAAGAAAACCACCTGGAGTCAGGAGAGATGATGGCAAACAGGGAATTAAAGGGCTTTTGCCTTAAAATGAAGACATAAAAATGGGGAAAACCTGAACCCCACAGAGACGCTCAAAACTGTCCAGAGACAGAGACTCCACCCTCAAAGCCACCCAGGGACCCCCAAAACTACATGGGGATCCCCCAAAACTACGCAGGGATCCCCTCAGCCCTCTGAACCTCCCAAACCACAAGGTCCCTGGAGGGCCGTGGGGGTCCCTGGAAGGGTTTTGGGGCTCCTGACAAGTGACATGGAGAAGAGAAATTTTCAGCTGCCCTGAAGGTGCTGGATGGAGCTTAAAGACTAACAGGCAAGGATGTAAAGGTATGTACAGAGCATCACAAGCACTGGAGCCAGTGGACAAATAGGTAATGAGGAATATAGTGGGGCTTTTATCAAGTTACGTAACTGGACATGCCCAAGGAAAACGTTCAAGGAAAGGTCACGTGTAATATGGAAGCATTCTGTGAATATGACCACCAGAGACCTGTTCGTGGTCCCTCCAGGACCATACCCTGTGGCAAAGTTTCACCGCACACATCAGATTAAAGGAGAAATCCTTCATTGTGTTCTGTACAGATAAAGAACGCCTGCTTTCTAATGCTTCAAATTGTGCTAGAAAGTGTATTTGCCAGCCAGTTTTGGTATCATTCCCTTGCACGGGCTTACGGATCTAAGGTGAGCTGAGAGAGTCCTGCCGGGCTTTAGGAGGGTTTGGAGTTCCTAGGGGAGATTTGGGGGGTCCATGGGGAGACTGGGGGTCTCTTGTCAGCGGGATCCCAGCTCTCTGCCACTTTAACCAACCCGAGGGCCTCCCAAACCACACTGGGACCCCCTCGACCCTCCTGCACAGCCAAGTCCTTTCTAGGACACCCAGAACCACACCAGCCTCCCTCCACCCCAAACCTTTCCCTGGGAATCCCAAACAACCTCTCTGAGACCCTCAAAACCACCCCACTGACCCCCAGAACTCCCTGGGCATCTCTCAACATCCCCAGACCCGGAAACCCCTCCAGGAACCCCCATTTATACTCCAAGGCCTCCCTCGGCGCCTCCAGAGCCCCCCAAACCCCTCCGCGCATGCCCAAAGCCTCCCACGGACCCCTCCCCTGCCCCGCCGCGCTCGGCGGCGCCGCCGCTTCCTGCCTTCCCCCTCCCCCGCCTCCCATTGGCCGCAGCGCCCGCCCGTCCCCGCCCTGAACCAATCAGCGCCCGAGCTTGGAGCGCTGGGGGAAACCAAACGAGAGCGCGGGCGATGGAGCGGGTGAGGCCTGAGGGCTCCAGAGGGGACCGAGGGGGGAATTTGGGGGCTCAGGAGGGCTCCGCGTCACTTCCCGCATTCCTCCCGCAGAAGCTCAGCCTGGAGCAGCGAACGGAGCGTCTGGTGCAAAGGAGGTGGGAAAGCAGCCCGGCCTCAAGTGCCCCTCGGGATCCCCAAGTGCCCCCTAGAGGCCCCAGTCTGCTTCCCCGTTCCCTCAGTGTTGTCCCGGAATCCAAGTGCTCCCCAGACCCCCAAATGCCGCCTCAGACCTCTAAGCGCCTGCTAATTCCCTCCCTTGCCCCGGTGATCCCCCAGGAACGCCTCGGGGTCCCCCAGTTACCCCACCCGAGCCCAGGTGATGCCCCAGACCCCCCATTATGCCCATAAGTGCATCCCGCAGCCCCTCAAAGTCCGCCCGAGACCATCAGTCCCGCCGGGTCAGTGCAGGGTGAGCATTTCGGGGGTCCTCGCCCCTCCCCAACCTTCTCCTCCCCTCACCAGCCAGGCCCTGCTAAAGCCCCGCCCCTGCGGGCCGGAAGGGGCGAAGCCTCTGCTTGGCTCCCCTGCCTGCAGCTCCAGCTGCCTCCACCTGAGGGGCTCACACCCCCCCAACCCAACTCCCCCAGGAGCTTTCTCATCAGGTTTTCTCTTGCTGTCTCTCCATGAAGCCTGAGTGACAGAGCAGCCCGGGGGAGCACCTGGGGTCAGCCAAGGTCGCCCATCCCAAACCTCCCCCACTTTCAGAATCCCAGGCTGGTTTGGGTTGGAAGGGACTTCAAAGGTCATCTCGATCCACCCCCTGCCATGGGCAGGGGCATCTTCCACAATCCCAGGTTGCTCCAAGCCCTGTCCAACCTGGCCTTGGACACTTCCAGGGATGGAGCAGCTGCAGCTTCTCTGGACAATCTGTGCCAGGGTCTCACCACCCTCACAGGGAGGAAGTTTGTCCCAGTATCTCATATAACCCTGCCCTCTGGCAGGTGAAAACCCTCACCCTCCATCCTGTCCCCTGAAAAAGACCCTCCACAGCTCTCCTGGAGGCCCCTTTTTATATTATATTTTATATCTCTATTAGATTTATACCTACATACATATCAGCCCAAAAAGTGGCTCAGGCAGTCTGTGACTAGTTGAGGCCCTGGGGTAGTCCCTTTTAGGGGGTGTGGGGGAGTGGGCAGATCTATGGGTTATTTTAGAGAGCCTCCGGAAGTTTGGGAGGGTTCTGAGGGTTCATAGGGTGTTTGGGGAGGGAGAGCTATGGAGCATTTTGAGGGGATTCTGAGGGTATTTGGGATCTACCGGGGAGTCTGTAGGGGATGGAGGAGGTCTCTGGGGTTTTGGGACGGGCTACAGAAGTGTATACGCCAGGGCCCCAAAGTCCTCTCAACCTATTCTTCATCTGACAGGATTTATCTGCGCCTGTCAGGGAAGCTCACCACACAGACCCTGTTCCCGATTACCATGAAATTTTGATGCACGCAACATGCAGGAATGTTTTTCCTGCAATTTCCCTGGCTCCAAGAGGGACCACGGGAGTGGCACGAAAAAGTTGGGGGCCCTGTCCATCCCCCACATAGGCAATTACAGTTTTGATTCAAATTTTAATTAAAGGCTGAACTGGTGCTGATACTGCAACAGGGTCAGGGTCTTTCTCTACATTGTCGTCATCACGCCAATTCCCAGGAGACACTCGAGGGGCGCATGGAGGCCAGCTGGGTGTGCTTGCGGGATCGTTAAAGGCTCTGGAGGGGCACTTAGGGGTCGGAGAGGCAGCTGGAGAGCACCTGGGGGTCCGAGGGAACACACAAGGGGCATTTTGGTAGCCGATGAACGACCCAGAAGTTCCCATAGGTAATCCATCAATGATGATTGGTCCCTTTATTCCAGTCGGAACCTTTTCCGGTTGGGTGGTCATCAAGGTTACTGCTGCTGCGGCTGCCATGTTCAATCTGAGGCTCCCGGCGGTGTCTGGTTGAAGGGAAGCTGGGCTGAGATGTTGACAGCAGCTACTTGTGTCTGGGCGCGGCGGCTGGTGGATGCGCTGGCTTTCCCGTTTCCCGAGTGGCGTTGGCAGGCTCCGGTGTTGTGGGTATCCAAGGGACAATTTTGGCACCAGACCCTGGCTGCTTGATAAGCCCGTCGCATATGTCCTGTACCTCCACACCGGTAACATTTGAATCGCCAGTAGATGGAGCCCGTGGAGTAATTGTTGCCGCTGCTTGTAGGGGGCAAGAGCAGCTAACACCTGACTCTGTGAGGCTTCTGCCTGTTTTCGTAATCCTACTCCTATCTCCTTAATAGCATCTACTAACATTGCTTGATTCCCTACGGGCACATTCGCCAATCATTCTAAAGCTTCTTCT